TATAAACAATAAATATTTTTATGATTTCATGCAATATTAACGAATAATATGAAATAATATGAAATAGTTGTACATAATTTTAATTAATTTATCATAGCCGATTTCGCAGTATTGATTGGTTTTTTAACTTTTTATTAAGTAAAATATTTAAACCAATAATAATTACAAGCGCAGTAATACTTAATATTTACAAGCGCAGCAACCATACTTAATACAAACAATGAAATCCGCATATCTTTATTTTTTGAATGTTTTTTTTTTCATATTCCATATACATATATTTTTATACATGCATAAATGGATTATTTACATGAAAGAAAAAAGGTGAATAATCTTACATCCGAAATTCAATCAAATTTAATCTGATTAATTACTTGTCATAAAAATTGATTCTTTCGCCATGTTCCGGTAAATAAAGTATAAACAAATCAAAAATTCGGATAAAATAGGGCCGTAAAAAAACTAAAAATGACAAAAATGACAAAAATGACAAAAATAACATATTTAATTACGGAAATTATGAACTCCGTATTATTCGGTTCGGATAAATTTATTATATAAATAATGCCTAGAAAAAAATATTGATATTGATATTGTAATTTGTAATTCGGGCATTTATTTTTATTTTATTATTATTTTTTTTTTTATTGTTATACTTTTTTTAAATAGCAAAATGAATATTTTCCGAATAGAAGATCTTCTTCCATATTTTTCATGACATAAGAATACCTTTTACAACAATGTACATTTTATTGTAATAAATAAGGAAATTATTTTAATACAAAAGAATAAAGTAAAATAAAAAAAATTTTTTATCTTTAGTAAAAAAATAATTTTTTGTTCAAAAAGGTCCATTATCCATTCTTGAATGAAATGACTTTTTTGGGTTCGGGCTCATGTGATCATGTGAGCTGAGCCAATCTCAAAGAAAAATAGAAAAAATATCTAATATCTATTGCTTTTTTATCTTATTTAGAATTAATAATGATGACACAAAATACTAACTATATTTATCCCAACTATGCAAAGAACTGGTCACATTTTTTTATCGCAGTAGAATTATCTTATCAATCAAACTAAACCTTTTTGTCATATCAAATTTTTCATTTAACAATGCGGAGTCATTCCGCCACCCCAATCAAAAAAAAAAAATTATGAAAGGTATTGGCCACTTTATAATCTCGAAATTAGAAGTTAATGGACATCTATTGTAATAAGGTATTTCCTATTCTTTATAAACTGCGTAAGGTTCTTCCATTTCGAGATGTGGCGAACTCCAAATTTTGTATAGATGAGTACCGCATGTAACCATAGAAGCTTCTTACTTGTGTCAGTGTTAGTGGCGATAAAGTGGCTGGTTAATTGTACACACAAACAAGGCTAAAGGAACTGAGAAATTTTTTTTTTTTTTTTGTTTTTGCTAAGACGGATAGTTTCGGAAAAGTAAAAAGGGAAGTAAAAATTATCCTTTGTGACAAATTTTTTTTTTATTTTTAGAAAATTTGTTATCAATTTCGCTCAAGCGCGCCGAGCTAGAAAGTTCTTTTGAAGTTATCGACGAAGGGCATAAAGTTTCAATTATAATATGAGGAGGCACAATATTTTTTTTTTAAAAATAAATTTTATATTCTTTTGAAAATTTTATCTTTTTTTAGAAAAAGATAGAGAAGAATAAGAAAGAAAAAAAAAAAAAGAAACTTTATTATTAAATGAAATCTTGGGAAGGGTAGTTTACTTCCAAACTCTTTCTTATTTTAATTTCCTTTTATGTCAAATCCGGAAATTAATCATGAATTTACATTTGATAATTTATGAAGAAGATCCTTTGTATCCCTTGTGAAAATAAAAAAAAACCTGTTCTTAATTTAATGATATGTGATCATATGATAAATTTAAACTCGATTTTTTTTTCTTTTTTTTTTTTAAAAAAAAAAAAATATATAGAGTATTATACATAATGATCCCATTAATCGGTAACCTATTTTATTTGCGGAGATGAAAAAGAAAGTGGAATCCCAATGTATTAAACTATAAATAGTATAAAATTGTTATAAGTGGTATAAGAACGAAAAAGCCATGTTCTCATGGATCTAGAAATGTAACACCAACATACAATATGGACAAAAATCTACAAACAAACAAACATGTCGTGTAATATATGAAACGAATTGAGTTACGCATTCGAATGGTTTTTTACTGCAAATGCTGCGGTTTTGATGATTGATAAATGAAAAAAAAAAATTATACTATCATAAATGAAGAATAATTAAAAATTCAATTTAAATTAAAAACAATATAAAATTATAATATACTGTATATAATATATATATATATTATATTATAGATCATCTTTTATTATTTTTAGTAAAATTGGAAAATAAGGAATTTTAGGGAAGTTAAATGATTAAAAATGTTTAAATTAAAAATTAAAAAATCAATTAATCTTTCTAAAAAGGATGGCATCATTTGATGTATAAGTAGTGTATAGGTAACTAATTATTTCCTATTTTATTCTTTTTGAAACAAATTGTTGTAAATTATATAATTATAACATAATAAATAGTTAAAATAATAATAATAATAAAAATAATAAAAATAATAAAATAATAATAATAATAATAATAATAATAATAATAATAATAATAATAATAAGAATAAAAAATAATAAAATCAATTTAAGTAATTTGAATTGGATTTGTTTACAATAGATTAACGTATAATGGTTGCGCGTGTAATAACTAGTTAACCAATAAAGTTATATTTAACCAATTATGGGAATATATTGCTTTGCTAAACCAAGCATACAAGTGAATGTCCAAATTGAGAAATAACGCGTCTTTATCTTTTAATCGAAACGATGGTTTATTTTCTCAAAAAGAAAGAAATTAAGTAATGAAGGAAATCTATAATACATATTTTTTTTTTGATTTTGTGTAAGGGAAATATAAAGCATCTACAATAAACAAAAAACGAACGATGGTTATTTCAAAAAGAAAGAAATTAAGCAATGAAGGAAATCTATAATACATGTTTTTTGATTTTGTGTAAGGGAAATATAAAGTATCCACAATAAACAAAAAACGAACGATGGTTATTCATAAAAAGAAATAAATTAAGTAATGAAGGAAATCGATAATACATATTTATTTTTTTTGATTTTGTGTAAGGGAAATATAAAGTATCCACAATGAACGATGGTTATTTCATCAAAAAGAAAGAAATTAAGTAATGAAGGAAATCTTTAATAAATATTTTTTTTTTGATTGTGTAAGGGAAATATAGAGCATCTAGAATAAACAATAAACAATAAACAGAAACAAATTTTTTTTGCATATAATTAATTTAATTAAAACGCGTATGAAATACTCGATTTCTTAGAATGAAACGGAAATTGAAAGAATAATTTATTGCACAATGCAAATAAATAACGAGTTATATGCGAGTTATAATTACAAATAAGTAAGTTATGTGCGAGTTATATATTATCATTTACAAATAAAGTAATTTGGCATCGTAAAGAATGTATTAATGTATTAAATAACAAAGAATGTATTAAATAATAAGATGTGAAACTTTAAAAATAACTTTTCTCGCGATAATCGATTAATCGATTAATCGATGAGATCAAGTTTCTCTTGTCTCCTTTTTCCGATGTTCGATGATAAGAATTTGGAAGATTTTAATGTGCATTCTATAGATTTTTTAATATGCATTCAATAAATTCTTTTTAATTAATTGATTGAATGTAATCTATAAATTTTGAGGTAACTATGATTATTATTATTATTATCATGATAAGTGATTTGGCGTAATCTTTCTTTTTTCGCTTAATTGATCTTTTTTTTTTTTT